AACTTTTTTTTTATCAACATACTCATATCTCTACGACTAAAAGCACTATAACTACAAATAAAATGGCCACCGCCATACATTTCACACAACTTCCATCATGAAGGTTATATCAGAATGTATATTATTCTTTACGTATTTCGAAGCAATGGGTAAATCGACAGTCGTATAAAAGCAAGAATGTTCTTTACACTCTAAGTCTAAATAGGACAGCACAAAGTTGTTGCTGTGATTCTATCTAAATCTATCTTAAAGGTGCTAAATCACTAATATTTTGGTCTAGAAATTGACACAAATGTGTCGCAACGCATATAATAATGTAATATGGATGTATATAAACTGATTTACATTCAATCGTTTCCGTTTTTACTCTAATTTCAAATCCGTTATGTTCGGCGAATTACGTGACCAGTCTCACTCGAATTGCAATCTCTAGCATCTGGTTATTCCAGTCTACACCGGTAGTATTTATTGTGCATGCTCTCCAGATAGAAGTATGACGTCACCGTTTAATATGAATTGTGGAAAATGGCACTGAAACGCATTCTGGTACACGATTCATGCACCAATGATAAAATATTTATTTTGTCTTAAATATTGGGTATCAGAAGCGCATCTTTTCCCCCGTAAGATCACAACATCAATGTTGATTTAAATTGACAAATATTTCGTGTTTTCAATGTCGAAGACTGTGGATGATATGGAGTTAAAGAACTACTTTAAATATCAGTAAATCGTCACTGGAACAGAAATTAGGAGTTAAATTATCAGTTAGGGTAAGCGACCACCTCTATAATTTTGTTTGATTTAGTATTATGGATGGTGTAAAATGTGGGGTAATAATCCCATTTTTACTAGAAATGTATAGATCACACTACTTTACTCATCTAGATAGTTTACTGGCGGCAAATAATATAATAACAATACCACACATCAATTATTTACTAAACAATTGCCTAACAATGGCACACGATAATGTGTTTCACGCTGAGAAAAGTAAAGCAAAAATAAACAGAACGGGTAGAAAAGTGATAATGTGGAATGCTAGTATTGTATTGAATAAACATTGAATGGAGGTTTACCTGGTTAGCTAACGTTTCTCGATATCGCTGATAATAAAAGGTTACCGTTCTTCCCTTTCAACCTGACCTATCCCCGGCCATATTCGAGGTATACTCAAAATTGCGAATGGGTTATCTGTACGAAAAGAATTGATATTGAATTCTATCATAAGATACAATTTCCCCTGAGGTATTTCAACCTTGATTCCATCTCTGGTGGGTTGACGGTAATAAATTTCAAATTATATAATTATATATTGCTTGTAATGTCTTCCACATCCCATTCTTCGTTTTCCCCGTTTCTGAAATTCTTGTAAATCATATCATTAAGTGCACGATTCTGTCATTTCATTGCAATCAAATATATCTGTGAATGTCTCTGACCTTTTGAGTGTTCCCATAACACAATATAAGATGCAGAAAAATGTGCAAGAAGAAAACAACAAATACTATCAAGAGAGATGTTATATAGAACTGGTGAACACGTGTATAGGTTCAACATTTTAAAGGAGTATTCCTATATTTTACAGACTATCCATTGAAAAGTCAAATGTGAAGAAATGCTTAATTAACTTGTCCTAGAGTTTTATCTCGAAATGATTTAGGTAACTTATTTAAGGACTTTTCAATTGTATGAGTGATTTGATATCAACGATGACCACAAACCTGATTGTCACCTAGCGTGTGGTTGAATCACACATGGAAAGAGCAGATTGGTATTTTTCAGAGGTTTAGATAGTTTCTCTAAACTACGACAAATATTTCACATAAAATTAGTTAGTTATATTCACTCAAATATCTGGCAATGCTCCATTAATGTATAGTTAAACGCAATCTCTGAAAAGTTCATTGGCTTTTAAATTTGTTTTCATTTGCACATTATACAACACATCTACATAAAAAATCTGTTCCATATCTATCGTAGATGTAGCACCACCCTGGGTCACCAATAGTTAAATCTTTCCTGTGCTATTTTGAAACACATCTTGAAATATGTCCACAGAAACATGACAGTGAACCATTATACATCTATTCTTTTAGAAGAACTTTAAGAATTAAAGGCGTATGTTCCATAATAGCTAACCCTTTATTTCTTTCACGAAGTATACCTTTTATTTTAAGTGTTTATTGACGTGTATGCATATGCATGATGAAACGCCAAATCCAAATTTTCGGCATAACAAATGAAATGAAATGTGGTTTTATGGCACGTCAGCTCCAACCGGGCTATATTGCGCCAAACATATGCTGAATATTACGAGACAGGCTAAATTATATCACAGAAAAACATTATATGCATAAATAAAAACAATATCACAGTTAGTAAAATTAAAAATAAAATACAACTTTTATACATATAAATATTAAATATAAACAATTAAAATTTATGATAAAATCCTGTCTTTTAAAAAGTCTAACACTTTATCATATAAACCCGGTTGGGCAAACATGTGATGTAATGACATTCGGCATAACAATATAGCGTATTGTTTAGTAGTATGAATAGCATGTAGAAACATTTATCGTCTGTTCCACAAAGCACTACAACATTTACGGTATTGAAATAACTAAAATTTCTCACGAGAGTATTTGGATATCCCACGAGTGATGTTTATTCTTAATTTCACAAAAAATACAAAAATACATCAAGTCAAAACAGTCGCATTCTAAAATATAGCTTAAAATGGTGTAACTTTTGAGATGTGCACAGAAGTAATCAGTTTAGGTATGATAAAAAAAAAACGTTGACTTAAGATTTTTGAAATGAAAACGGGTTTACCGTACTTACTGTTCTGCCCCGAATAGGGCTAATGAAGACGGGCATACGCCATACAGTGTGGTATGAGGGAAATTTTGCCCGGACAGCGGCACTACGGCCTACTCTTATATCGAATTCCAACTGTCACGGGATCTTTTACGTGCATTCCAATGTATACACGGGACCTCGGTTTTTCGTCCCATCTGAACGACTAGACAGCTGTCCTTGTCAGGCCCACCGTCCTGCATCACTGACAAGGGCTTGATGAATGCCAATCTTAGACCAAAAGATATCTAGAAGATAGACGTTGGAATAAAAAAAACTAGGGAGTGTTCACTTAAGCGGTTACTCCTGCATAGGTCATCTCGAGCACGTCATTTAATATCATGAAATTGAAAGTTGTACTATATAATGTTTATGAAAGTATAGATAGTAAATAGTAAAAATCAGCCCCAAGCATAAATATTTGCCCCCCCCCCTTAAAAAAAACAAATAAGCAAACCCAAAACGTTTTAGATTAATTCGGGACTAACGTTATGGTATCTTTTATTTCCATAATTGGCACACTTGGGTAAAAATGGAGACACGGTCCTACTTTTGTCACAGAGAACTCGGTGACGACACGACCCCACTCCTTTTGTCGCACACATGTTAGGTAACAAAATACGACAGACCTCATGACATTCTGAACATCTGAAACACGCTACCTGCGGAGAAGTATCTCAGACACAGTCAATAGCCATGATATCCATATCACGTGATCTACACATCACAGGTCATGACATTGACGTCAATTGGTCATGAGGTCAACATTGTAAACAATAGGTTTATCTTCAGCATTGTGTCCGTTGCACCCATAAAACTCATAGAATTGACGCTGTCTTCAATGACAGCGTCTGCGAGGGTTGTTCATAGAGGCCGCCATATTGCACTATTTTGTTCGTCGGTCGGGTCTATTTCAGATATACACAATCAATTCTGTTGATGTTTTCAACGTTGGGATTGACTAATAGTTAATGTGTTTCAGTTCTAAAACAAATATTTTAAACTTTAACGCAAGTTTAGAAAATAGCCAAATTCTGGCTGGGATTACTGAGAAAAATGGCCATTCACTGTATACGTGCGAAAAAAAGCTAGCCACCTATTAATTTTCGTACGTTAGTTACGTACGACCTCATGATTGTTAGCTCAGGTCTGAGACCACCCAACCTCCCGAGAACTATTAGCATTTGGAAATCAAGAGATATAACGTAACGTATATCAATTTGAACAACTTAAAAAAATAAAGACTTTATATTTATGCGGCTTTAAGTGTTTTACCGGGACGGAGTTTCACAATGTCTGTTATTATGTATCATACTGTTTATAACATAACACTTCTGGTAATACCATTACAAGAAAGAACAGTCTCCTTGTTGTCACCACATTAGAATAGGGTTTCCTTTATTGTTCTAACCTGTTAGATAATAAAAGGTTAAGGGTCGAATTTATAATCACCAACTGCATAGTAAGCAATTGGCCTAGGGCCCACGGGTATCTAATTTGTCGGGGGTCCCAGTGATAAGTTTGACCTGGGGCGCGCACTTAGGTAAATCCGGTACTGACAAGATTATTATCTTGACGTCGGAGCTACTGACAAATCGTCTTAATCCTCCAACTCACTAGTCCATGGAGAACGAACAGACCGCGTAGAAATAGCACTGTTAATCCGACACTACAAAAAGTACGGCTAGCTATGTGCGAACTCTGCAATTAAACAAATTTATCAGGTATTCTAAAAACATATTTATTTCCCACCATTCAGAAAAGTTCAGAAAAATAAACTACTTGGTATTAAAGAGACGGCGGTGCTTTGGAGGATTTCACCGGGTGGTAAAAATGTTTAAGTGGAATTTTACTATACTGTTCCATGTATACCGAATTTAAGACTAACTGGTCATTCTATTGTTCAGACCTTCTTAATGTCAATTTACAAAACGTCATATTATTATGTGTCAGTAGTTTTATGGAGTTTACAGTATCCCCGCGAAAAGGTAGGTCTGTAAATTGATTTTTTCCGATAATTATTTTGTTTGAAATATAAAATCATTCAATAAATTCAAAATATGAGCTATATACGAGAAGGCATAAAAATAGATCAGCCCTCACATAATCCATTCATTATTAAAAATTTGTTTATATACCTGTCTTCTGGTGTTATCTGATGGTGTTTTTTTAAATGATTGTGGCTGACCACGACGTACTGCAGGTCGTCCTTTCAATGGTACTGAAGCTTCTGAATTCTCACCAGCCATCGACTGATTAGCCATCATATACACACCTGGGGAGATGACTCTAAAATACAAACATTAACTATTACATGCATGTACGATTTCATTACAAATTGTATATCGTTTAAATATCACCAAGGTCCGCCGTTGGTCTAAGATTGAAGATCCCTCTGAATATACAAATTTTGGTTAAATTGGATACAGAAGAGATTTCATCGTATTTCTGACTCACTGCCAGTTGCCCATAAGCGGTAATCGCCGACTGTGATATCATTTTCGAAAATATTCAAGCAATAATCAGCATACTGTTTAAACGGCATTTAGTAATTGAACACATTAAAATAAACACAACAGTTCTATGGACAACAATTAATGTATGTATATTGTAGCTACTTTCTACAATGATTCTCTTGTCGTTTTCAAGCACAATAATCATGGTATGTGATATCAGCATTAGAGATTTTGTTTTGTTAGTGCCGGCGAATTCGGTGTTAATAATATCTCTGATTATTGAGATAATTCATTTTGCAATTTGTTCGTGAATATCTGTAGAAGAAATAATCACCAATTAACACCGACAGATTACGATGCTGCCTATTGTAAATAAAATGTTTATATTTTCGCAGTTTATCGATGATAGTAATGATTATATTTATGTAACAATGTTGGTAAGAATTGACAAATTACAATTTGAAAGGCCTGTTAGTTATTGATTAAAAGATAGTAATTAATTCCCGGTGATTTATGACGTCAATTATTATCAACCCGATTACTGCTAAATGCGCATTATAATACTTATAGTTTGTAGTAAACTACTCCGCTTTGGAAGGGTTCAATATAAAAGTAACGTCTCTTATATCCATGTTTATTAATAATGAAATACACAATTTTATTCTTGACCCAAATCAAACAACCAACCTTCCTGTCCTCATGCTCGCTCTAACCGAGGCCAATCTCCAGATCTCAACGCAGATAAACATATAGGTAACAGTCATCACACCAACGGGCAGTAAAAACAATATGAAAAACATATACATCTCATAGGCGATAGCATACGACTGTTTAGACCATTCCTGTATACACCAGTAAGCTTTTCTTACAAATCCTACTTCTTTATGTATCTGATATTAAAGGAAAAAAGGTGACTGGTATTAATTTATTTTAAGATTATTGAATTGCAAAAGCGTTTGGATAACAAAATAAATTTTAAAATGACTAAATATATCATATGGCGGATAAACTTGTTAATTATTAAACTTTAAACAACATTAAGCGCTAAATGTGTTATATAGATGGTAATAAAAGAATTGTAAGTTTTATAAACCCATGACCTCGATGTATGCATAAATATAAATCAAATATATTTACAGATACAGATGGCGGCGCTATGTCTAAAACAAATACTCTATTTTAAACGTTATGTTTATATTAGTTGATTTGAACTATGTTTGGGCAGGTAAGTGTATCGATAAAGTAATTCAGATCCATGCTCAACTACCTCAAAAAAAGAAAAAGACATTTTGTGTCCAAAATCGTTATTTGGTAAAATTTTTGAATATCCACCAATATTACACATGTTAAAATTACATTTGGAATGACTTTAACCAGCTCCATCAAATATCTAATATTGGTGGACACCAACATTGTCCTTTAACCTTTATATCTAGCTTTTATTCTGACTTATTGTCTCTGTAGTTTGCTTTGGTGAAATCATTTATTACGTAATCACAGAGATCACATTCTCTGTTGGTAAATAAATTCATCCTCAATTAATGGCGTACGTTCTACTTTTTACTCAGCTGAATATATAACGCATTTACTATACGTTCCATTCACTGAAGGTTGAACGCCATTAATCTACTATCAGATTTTATTTGACCATACAGCTCTCATTTCTGCGTGTCTGACTGGCAGTAACAAACTCTGCATCTTTTCAAAGCATCAAATTAAGCTTGCTACTAGACTATAGTTAGTTCACTACATTTTGTTAATCAACAGCTGCTATGATTGTTGAAGTATCGTCACAAAAAATAAATAAAATAGAAGACGCATTGCGATGTTAAGCAAGAATAGCCCCTTGGAAATTTTCTGTGCAATAATATGAATTATAAATTTTCATGGATCTATTTTGTTCATCTCTTTTATATGTATTATACACGATGGTTTTGTTTTGTCTTTTTTAAAAAGAAAATGACAGTTGTATCTTACCCTGCCAAATACTATAGGTATGGCCATGATGAATGATACCAGCCATATTATACAAACTATAATCTGTGTATTTCTCATCGTACAAACTGATTTGGCTTGAAGTGGATACTTTATCGCAATAAACCTACAAATATACAATAACATAACAATAATAAATTTATTAGTAAATGTGAAGGTATGATGTACATGTGTTCATATTTTGTTGGTCATTGTTGTAGACTAATAAATTCCATATCCATAGTAACAAGTTTGGCATCACAAAATATAGGTCTAACTAACCTGAAGTCATTCATAAACAATAATCAAAAATGTCTTCGGTCAGGTTTCAGAGCCAGACATTCCACTGTGCATCAGTTACTAGATATGTATCAGGACGGTTTACCTTTTATTGTCAAACGAAAGTACCCATGCATTATAATTTGTGACATCTCTAACGCTTTCGTTCTGGTTAATCATTCAGGATTATTTCACATGTTATCTAGCTATGATACAAGTGATAAAATCATAGATTGATTTTTTCAAGTTACATAACGTTGGCATTTGGGGTACCCTAAGGCTCGGTTCTATGTCCGTTTCTCTTTCTTGTTTACATAAATGACACGGTAATTTGGTACAACAAAACAAACACACAAGCCACTGAAAATCAATTAAATTTAGATTAATATTCGTCAATTAAATTTAACGCCCAGAAAAACAAGGCCATAATGTTCTCTCATAAACAAATTCCAAACCCTCCGCATTTCCAATTTGGCGATAACCAACTTGATATCATTAATACATATAAGCGCCTTAATATTAACTGAATTTACTAAGAGCTTGGGTTATGTGTTCTTCATCCGATGCAGAAACACTTAAAAATATATCAAATAAAGACCGCAAGAATGGCGCCTGAGTTTCCAAAGTATAATAGTACAGAAACGCTTTATCGTGAATCTGGTTGGAACCAAATTTTTAAAACCAGCGTACACTTCAAATTAATGTCAAAAGGGTTCATTGCCATGATCCAATAAACGATCCCTGCAAATTTAAAGGCAGTGATCGCAACAATTTGGGGTCGGACGACGGGCCGATGAGCGAATGTATAACGACAGCGTAGCCCATATCAAGTGCGGCTATATAATCTTTTTATAGTTAAACATACATTATGCAAGAGCTAATTCTGCCTATTGCAGGCCTTTCTTTAGGCCTGAAATGTTATATAAACTATTAATTAGACATTTATTAACACGAAAAGAACTTAATCAACTTTGGATGCCATCTTATGTGTCGGATTTTCACTGGATTTGAATTCAATCTGCTGCTCAACGCTCATTGATAATTAAATCCAAAAATGTATAATCGAGACTATGTTTTTTTTATCGTACCGACTTTAGTAATGATGATCGAGGCTAGGCCTAACATTCAATCGCTAATATATCGGTTCAGAGTGAAGCAATTTGACTGAATTTTCAGCACATTCCCTTTACATTATCTAGTTTTTAACTAATATAGTGAGAACTACCAGCTCTTGATCTAATCTTCAATAGTGCCCCTTTAAGTGTTATTTTGTACTCTTTAAATAATAACGGCTTGTTTAAGCTGGTTTAATTGTGGGTCTAGAATCAGCGTTGGCAAACCATGCTTTATCTATATCAAACAAAGGAATATACATATTTGCATTTTCAGGTTAGAAAGGTTAGAGTAATGACGCTGAAAAAAACATTTATATTCCCAATACAGATTCGTGCCTTTGATCTTAGACGATTGGGATTAGAAATAGTATCGTGGACGAGGTGAGCCAAGTGTAACATAAGGTCAACGAAAAAACGAATCTCGATTTATTTCTATTCCCATTTCGTTAATTACGGTGGTATCTTTAAAAGGAATGGGTAATCAACATGCTGTTCAGGCAATTATAAAGATTGGTTTATCCAGTATAATAAATGGTCCCTGAAGACGACGCACACTTTTGTTCACTAACATATAGCAGGTAATTAAATCACATTAATTCATTGTGTACAACTGGAATGGGTCTTGAGTCTCTCATCGAAAAGAATGGCAATAACAATACTTGCTATTAATGGTTGTCTGGTAGTTATTAGAGATGAATCCACATATGGAACATTTGTTTTTCCACCCACATTTTTCGTTTAATACTTTATATCTTTTTATAAAGGATTTAAATCGTTTTGGCGTTGACAGTAATGATTGTGTCATCTGGTCTGGGGTCAATACAACTTTATAAAGCTTACCTTTTAATAGCTTAATATTAGTTAGTGCCCATGGCAATAAAAGAGTGCCACGTTTTTCAAGCTGACATGTTTTGCTATTGGAAACTTTGAATTAAAATGAAGAATGATCTAAATAATAATGCCCAATGGTGTGAAATAATATCCTGAATCCCAATCACTTATGTAACAAAGATTTTAGAAATGATTCAATATGGCATGCCAAGATAAAACCTCCATGTCACAAGAGACATGGTTAAAGCATGTGAATATATTGTCCTGAGAGTACGTGAAATAGTGAAAAGGAGACGTGAGGACGAGAGAAGCAAGATTAAAATATTTTTGAATCACCAAAAACCTACAATGCAAGTGTAATTTAGTAATCATATTGTCGTGCGTTCAGTTAATCTTATTTCAAACACGCGTGGATAAAAAAAAGCATTCTAATATTCGCTCTTGAAACAGCTAACACATATAGAAATTAATCTTGTAAACATGAACTCTTTTTGTTTCAAAGAGTCAATCCTCATTAGTAGATCGCAATGAATGACATTAAAGTCGCCAGAGCATACGATCATGTTTGAAGTTAACACAAAGATCATCTCCCAGAATATTTGAAGTAGTTTTTGAAGAAGAGAAGAAACTATACGCATGTTTTTCACAACTAATGAAGTATTACTTTGATTATGTTTTCCCAGATTATGTATGGGGTATCATACAAAGCTATGTAAACCATGTTATTTGCATGTCAAGGTTTATTTTTGCCAAAAATCTTTTATTCATAACAGAAAATTTTATTTGTAGAAACGCATAAACTATTATAGCATGTATAATTAAAAGAAATCGATGGATATGTGGACAGACTGACAGGCTACTTATCGTTCTGAATAGCAAAGTGGGCGGACGTAGTATAATTCTGAATAGCTTACATATAGACAGGCACCTATCGCTTGGATTAGCTACATGTCGACATTTAACTATCGCCCTGAATGACAATATGTTGACAGGCTAACTATCGCTCCGAATAGTTTTATGTCAACAGGCTAACAATCGCTTCGAATAGCAATATGAGTTTTAGGTTGCCAACTTACTCCTTCTCGCCACCTGATAATTCTTTTTTATCCAGGAAATTCCAACGACTGGAAATATTTTGACAATGTACCGTTGTATGTATTAACCCCCGCCATATTCTCAACTACCGGTCCCCACTTCCTCCCGCGCATGCGTACACCTCTCTAGCAGACGAAATATACACAGATATACACGTAAACAATACAGTTGACAAGGTTAACAATCTCCACTGTGTTTAAACACAACCAAAATGTAACTTTTTAGTACACCATAAATAAAGATTAAGAGAAATGTCTGTACTTTACTAGCCTAATATAACATCAACTGCTTCACAGTTTCAATTTGTAAATGTTCACTTAATCAAAATCAATGTCACATTTTCCTGTATCCAAAGCTGTAAGCAGTCTAAAATAAGATGCTCCTCTTTTAATAAGAGAGTCTGCTAAAGGTTGTTTATGTGATAATAGTTATGTTTCCAATTGAACTAACCACTTTGTATTGTAACAACATAGGTCTTGTGGCTTCTTCTTATAGGACTATAAATATTACCTTTTAGTTTGCTAATTTATCATTTGTACTTGATAACGATAAGAGAATACTTGTCGAAACTTTGTTGTATCTTTCCAAAAACCCGCTGCTCCATGGGCTGAATGCAGGTGTTGCATTTAACTCAATGTTAAAATTCTCGGCCATGTCTCTGACCTCTTGGTTATTGAATTCACCACCATTATCACTGAATAAAGTTTTAGGTGTACCATGTATGCTGATCCAATGTTTAAGAAAGGCGCTAACAAATGCAGAAGACTGTTTTGTCTTCAATATACATGCACTGCTAAAATCTGTGAACTCATCGATTATGTGTAAATACCATAAACAGTGTTGTAATTCATGAAGATCAACTGCAACAGTCTGTTTAAATTCTGTAGCCAGTGGAAGCCCTAAAACAGGTTTTATTGGTGTTCACATGTGTTAACTATGTCATCTATATGCTGATAAAGGTCGTTATCTTCAGCGCCTGAGCTTACTAATAGTTTCTTCAATCTGCTACTTGATGCATGGCCAAATTGACGATGGAGCTTGGATGACAACTTTTCCTTATCTGATGTATTTTGAAGTTCTTGTGTGGCTAAAACTTCGGACGTCTCAACAATATTTATCAAACTTCTGTTATAAAGATCAATGCATTAGTGACCACTACACAAGTTGAACTGGTTTATCAAACATTGCTTCATCATTTTGAAGACCCAAGATCGTTTGTGTCTTCTTGAATGTACTTTTACTCAATAACAGTGGCAAGCCAATATCTACAATTTCAATTTCTAAACGACAGGAACGTTGACCCATTATTACTGGAACAATTACTCTCTCAAGGAAGATACATATAAACCATCACCAAAACGAAAGTTCTTGTGGCTTGAATAACGGCGTATCTTCTTTTGGTCGTCTCCTGTCAAATCATCTATGTACACTGTTCGCGTATATGCAGTATCTATAACAGCTGTGCCAAGAGACTCCACAACTAGGATTTCTGCTTTAAAGGAGCTAAATCGCAAATATTTTGGATCTAGAAATTGACACAAACTGATTTATGAACTGATTCAGTATATAAACTGATTTACATGCAATCGTTTCTGTTTTACTGCAATTTCTTATCAGTTATGTTCGGCGAAATACGCCAGAAGTCTCAATCCAATGGCAATCTCTAACGTCTGGTTATTCCACTCAATACCGATAGTAATTATTGCGCATGCTCTCCAGATAAGAATATGACGTCACCGTTTATTGACATGACTTGTGGAATATATCTAGCCTCTTTCTACAAGTCCCTTGTTAAAAATGGCGCTGAAATGCACCATGGTACACGATTCGTGTACCAACGGTAACATGTTTATTTTGTCTTAATTATTGGATATCAGAAGCCCATCTTTTCCCCGTAAGATCACAACACCAATGTTGATTTAAATTGACAAATAATTCTTGTTTCAATGTCGAAGATTTTGGATGATATTGAGTTAGAGACTTAGCTACTTAAACTTTAAGTTCTTTCGTAAATAAAATCAAATTACAGTTTTCTTTGTCTGATTTTTCATTGAGGCCTGTTCCTGCATCCGGACAATCTTTGGCCCAACGTGATCTTCTCCCAAATCGATTTAGAGGATTTGATTCCTTAGGAATACTAGAACTGGAGTCATTTTCTTTAGAATAACTGGAACGAGCTTGTAAGAAATTTCTAGTAACATAAGCCGATTCTTCTTTAAATTGAATATAGTTACTGCCTGTGGGTCTGGAACAAGCACCAACCTCGTGATTTTCTGGGCTACCAAAAATTCTCTTGAGTGCTGATTTCATAGTTGAAATCAAATCAGGTGATGCAGTGAGGGCTAATTGTCTTTCCTTTAATGTTAAACCAGCATTATTTAAAAGTTTAAATGCCAAAACTGCATCAGGTTATGTCATTTCATGTTTTCTTGAGCGGTTGTATCTACTTTCAAACTCGATAATATAATCAGAAATCGTAATATCAACTGCTCTTTTGTAAGAGTCGAATGTCTCGTAAGCGACGTCTTTTGCTTCTCTTTTAAAGGCTCCGTCAACAGTGGTATTAAGTTACAAAGCCATACTGTCATCTGCATTCAGTGCATCGGCGTCCAACTCTGGGGTCTTTTCTCGGGCTTTACCGATGAGAGAAGTGTGACCGCCAAGGCTGTTTCTTTTTATCGATGTCATTTTTCGCCACATCTCTAATTCGTTTTTCCACGTTTCATATATTGTATCCGACCCAAAAGGCGGTGGATGTTTATAACTTTGTGCCATTATTACGTACGCTCTGCTACCAACCAATGTAAACTCCAATAACTATATCGTCTTTAAACACTTTTATTATGCCATTTCTCTCTCCTTAACTACTGTCTTCACTCCCGCCATATCCCCAACTACCGGTCCCCACTTCCTCTAGCAGACGACATACAGATATACACGTAAGCAATGCAGTTGACAAGGTTAACAAACCTATTTCTAGTTCTATAACAAATCTATTCTTAGAATTTTTGTTTGGTTAAGATAACTCTATCAGACTATCGATATATCATAAAACTTACAAATATGTTTGATAAGTACCTAAAGTAATATATATAGGTTACAGAAGAAATAATTTGGCAGGAAGGTTAGTTGTCGAAAGAAGTAAATGAAAATGTAAACTTTTGACTTGATTTAAATTAAATGTTATTTTCTATAAAGCACAATTTAATGTGGGTCCTTTCTAAGATTCTTTACCCAATAAATACATTGTGTCGCTTTCGATTAGATCAGACCAGATATGGAATTTTATATAATATAATGGCAATCAGCAAGTTTATCCAATACTCTAAGTAGAACCCGATTTCTTCATTTAGAAATGAAATGAAATGGGACTTAACATCCTACTTTTCTGGACCGACTGGGCTAATGAAGACGGGCATGCGCCATATAGTGTGCTATGAGGGAAATTTTGCCCGGACAGCGGCGCAACGCCATTTACTATAAAATGAAGTTCAACGAAGGATTCCCAAACAGAACAAGGAGGATAGTCATTCTGTGTATTTTAAGTTCAATATCCGATCTTTAATTCAATAATAAAATCTTCAAATATTTTAATCAAATTCTTAAAAAATAAATAAAGTTGATGGAAATTATTTGGCAATTGAACAAACCGCCAGAGGAGAATTGGAGATACAGGCTGGAGCAGTATCAAGTACATATTTAAGTATATAAGTGTATATCATTGAGAGAGAGAAAAACAGACAATCTGAAGTGAATGTATATCTAACTGGCACTTACTTTTCAACACTCATCGCTGTCAGTGTCATCACAGAACAGATCATAGATACATTCTGCATGTAGTGAACAAACTTGCACAGAAATTCACCAAAGCCCCACGTAAAGGCAAAGAATGCAGCAAACTGCAAATAAAACAAAGTTACAATAAATATATAATTTGTTATTGAACAATCTAAATAAACACAAAGTTAATTAAAGATGGGTTCCCGTGATTTAATGGTATATATGGACCAAAAACATATTCAAACTAATTAATTTGTCATAATTATGCTTCAAATCCTTCTCAAACATTGTAATTGCGAAGGAATGCCCTGCTATTAAAATTCGATCAAACCAGGTCATGTTTACGTCACGTCGTGGGAGTCAGAGGAGAATTCATTGCATACATAGGACGATGTTGTCTTTAATCGCTTACTATTTATTACAAATATCGAATCCTAATTAAATTCTCGGATTATCCACTACCCGCGTCTTTTTCCGTCATTTTTATCTCAGAAAGTATTGTACGTCTAACTCTTCATAAAGTTTATCAACTTGTACATCAAGCGCTCAATGTTCGCCTGTGACCTTTGACATCACGCGTGCAGCAGTTTCTAATCGTCGGGCTGTTGATTAGGGGAACCCTTACATTTTTGTCCTGTATACGCTCCATGAGTGTTTTTCAGGGAATCCAGTATTTTTCTAGTAAGATTGAATATCTCTACTTTCCATATATACCAAAATTGCCATACTTTTATTGGAAATAACCACCCAAATAACCAAATACTTTTCTGGGAACCCATCTTTAATGATAGATGCCGATAAGGCTAAAATGGTTTTGTTGAGATGGCAGTATGTTATATCTAAATAATAACAAAAGTTTAACGTCCACTCAACACAAACTAGGTCAATTTGGGACTAACACATGGTACAATTTTATTTCAATAGTTCGCTTGTGCGTGGGGGGTCTTTAGCAGTGAGAGAAAACCGGAGCACCCGGAGAAAATCCACGAGGTTGGACAGGCGACCCTACTCTTTGTCACGTACAGCCGGGGAATCGAATACCCGCCAGTTGACTCAATGACAGACCTTATGATACAGCGCGCACACATTCGGCCATCCAACCCCCCAAATAATTAAAAAAAGGATACATAGGTTACTACATAGGTTTCAAAGTAAAGGCCAAAGACTGTTTTGAGGTTAACAGAACTTCAGCCTTGTCAATACAATAACTGGCAGAGAGACGGCAAGTTTCATCATCAACTGACACAGAAACCGTATCTTTGATCACAAACGTTCTAGATACGATTATTTTATCCTCAACAGACATGGAATTAATAGATTTCCACATCGATCGTGCAAGGACATCGGCCCAATTGCTTCATAATCAGTATTTCTGTAAGCAAGATGTTCCATCTAGAACTGATAGGTTCCCAAAGCAATCGTTCTAGAAAAACATTTTCTAACAACAACGCGTATGTCCTGACAACAACAGTTTTAGAGCAACAAAATACGTTCCGCTACAAACAATCGTTCCCGAAAAAACGTTATCAAACAATATGAAAAAACAATTCCCATGTTTCTGTAACAATCTTGTTGTAAATATTGTCCTCAGAACAATAGACGTGTTCCAATAACCTTGTTGCTTATATAGAAAAAGTGTTCACCATCACAACGTTTTATATTACAAGAATAATCTTTCTAAAAAAAAAGAGGGTATAAACACTTCCTGTTTCGAATTTAGAGGTGATTTATTGTCCATTTAACCATGCTGGAATTATTAGAAAATTCGAATACACTTTTCGACCAATCACAAGCGATGAAATTTCTAATTTGCGCTAGAATAACAATTGGTAATGTATGGATTAAGCTTGCTTGCACTTAAAATGAGAACATTGTCTCGAACTGTGGTGAGTATCGATAACAAGATGACGAGGAAAGCGCAATGAGTGTGAAATTTAATTGACGGCAATGTTAAGACAAGTAGCAAACATTTTACAATATACACTAATTAATTTTTAGGTCGGGAGATACATTTCGTTGAGATTTGACGTTATTGTTTCGATAAAAGTCATCCAATTTAATCTAATATTACATATTGATGATTTGCATTTATAAAATATTGTAGATTATATAAAATGAACTTAATTGAATTTAATTTATCTAACTTATAACAGGTACTTTTAAAATTGGTTCCTTTGGGTGTTGTAGTGATTATGAACATGATGAAATTAAAATAACCAATGTTTTTCTTTATTCGAAAAGTGCGTATAAACCTTTGATCTTTTCTGTTGTTAGCTCTGACACAATGTGATTGATCCCAATGTATGTGTAGTGTTGTGAAATGAAATGAATGGGGTTTAAACACTTACTTTACTGCACCGACTTTGATAATGAACACTGGTATGCGCCATACAATGTGCTATGAGGGAAAATTTGCCTCGACAGCGGCACTACGTCCTAGCCTTATGTCGAATTCCAACTGTCAAGGCTTATGTACATGGCACATTGGTTGTTTGTTCCATCCGTACGACTAGACACAAATCATTGACAGACCCTTAAACCCGGACAAGGGGAAACCAGGTCAACACCGAGAGCGTACCCGAGACCATCTGATGAGTGAGTCACCATCTTGCTTACTGAGCATCCGCGACTAACTGTAAAGGTATGATACACTGGAAATATATTTACTTTGCTTCACCAGAGTTTAAAGTTCAATGTTTAAAGTTTGGAGTTCGGTGTTTAAAACAGCCGTAATCTGATTACACATAGCATCAATGTATTGAATATTACCAGTGTTTATTAGAGTTATATGTTTGAAACATACGTAATCTTTGAATGTATTTATATCACAGAAGTTTAAAGTTCAGTGTTTAAAATAGTCATAATCTCATTAAGAATAGCATCAATGTATTGAATATCACAAGAGTTTATAGTTCTGTATTTAGAACAGTCGTAATCATAATAAAAAAAATACCTTATGTGTCAATGTATTATCTTGAATATATACTAAGCAGCAAAAGAAACATCGGGTTGGTATGTTACTCTGAATAGACGCATTGCATAAAACTTGCCAAATGTTTTTATTATATATTTGTGACGACATCTCTAACTTTACCTGATCAATAAGGCTCCTTCCGAATCATAGAATTGAACCCAGGAAATGTTCTCAAAAACGCAACCTGACTTCTGAGATGGTAATGTGTTCTCCATGATTTTCATGTAACTCATGATGCACGTGCTGTTCATCGGGACCAGCGCTATAAAATGCATCCCCATGCCTGGTTGAATCATTCACACTACGTCAGCAGTATGCCACGACTCAAGAAAGGCTCAGGAACGCGGCGCTTGGAAGACTCGACGCTGGCCACACTGCCCAAGCCGTTGCCAATCACTTCCAGGTCAACCATCTACAGGCTTCAGCAACGCTTTCGGGCCACCAACACCACGGATGATTGCCCCCGAACTGGTAGACCAAGGGTTACCACAAGGCGACAAGACCGCCATGTTGTGATGAATTAATCACTAATGTATCAACATACTGTTTACAAAAAAATGTTTTGATCCATTTAGTAAGTCGTTTTCTAGAATAATAATAATAATAATGAAGTTTTATATAGCGTCTTCTCCATGTTGACACATGCTCAAAACGCTTTTTGTAATGGCTCTACTGGTAAAACTGTTGAAACAAGAAAGTCTTTAGTGCGGATTTAAATTGATTAAAAGTTTGTTGATTCTTGATCTGTTGTGGAAGTTCGTTCCATAATCTAGGACCAGCTGAACTGAAAGACCTATACCCATATGACTTTAAATTATATCTTGGAACAACTAGTGACTGTTTATTTTGAGAGCGAAGTGATCTAATAGGGTTGTAGTCATATAAGAGTTCAGATAAGTATTGAGGAGCTGAATTATTGCGACATTTATACACTAATGTTAGTATTTTGTATTTGACTCGCGCCTCAGCAGGTAACCAATGTAAAGAAGCCAGCACATTCTGGATGTGATCAAACTTATGTGTCCTTGTTACTATGCGGGCTGCAGTATTAAGAACCTTTTGGATCTTGGCTAGAAGTGCTTGTGGGATGATTGGATTAAATTGCCTCTCTGATTTTAAAATCGTACTGACGTTTTTTTTTTTGTTTTTTTTTGCTGGCTAGTATATCTGTGCAACGACGGACGGACGGGGGCGACGACAATATACGACCACATTTCAATGTGAGCGTATAAAAAGTCCATGTCAGGTGCTTTCATTGATATGGATGACTTCTCAATTTAAGAAACAAGATTATGTTTATAAAACAGATTATGTTATTTCGGGACTAAAATAAATATAGTACTTCTTTATTTCAATAAAATTCGAGTTGGGTATTTATTAAAAGTGGGACCCACCCCTATCACCACACCATCCTATAAATATAGTATCAATCACTTTCGAAATACAAGAGTAAATTAAACCCCTGGATCTGTGAGTATCTGTCTAGTTTGTGTGTTAGCCAATGTAAGCCTATGGTGGGAGTTGGGTGGCCGAGTGGTTAGGCACGTGCGCTCTGTATCATAAGGTCTGTCATTGAGTCAACTGGCGTGGTTCCGAATCCCCGGTTGTACGCGACAAGGAGTAGGGTTGCCTGTCCAACCTCGTGGGTTTTCTCCGGGTCCTCCAGTTTTCTCCCACTGCTAAAGACCCCTACGCGCAAGCGAATTATTGAAATAAAATTAAACCATATGTTAGTTCCGAAATGACCTAGTCTGTGTCGAGTGGACGTTAAACCCGATTTCTCTCGATAACTGTGGTAAAATTCGCGCATTAATAACACGGTTTCTTAAAATAACCCCATAACACGTGTATTAAAGTTGCCATATAAAATGGGTTTATAAAATGGCGAGAATGGTTTTATAGTGTGGGGAATTTAATATATAAGCTTAGATAAGACTATATATGGAACCCTTTACGTGGTAATATATGTTGCTTTGTATAGAATTTATAGTGACAATTGTGGTAGAAATTATTCAAATACCTACTCATCGCATGACAAGATAAAAGTTGCATATCAAAAGAGACCTCGATAGTGCAACTAGTATGTTCATACCATCCTGAGAGCACTTGTATTGTTCCAGCTTTTGAAATAGTTTGATAGCTTTT